TCTCTACTAGTCAATATCATGCTCCGAATCGCTTCCCATATCCGAAACTTCGAGGTTAGAACATTTTATTTCGTATTTGCGTCTCTTTTATGGCAAGAAAATAAGTCTTTTTTTACTTATATTTGCGATTTTTTTCGTTATTCGTCCATTAATTCCTTCCATGGCAACCTATTTAGTATTTTCGGTACTTGTAGGGCTCGAAATCGGCGTTTTTTGTTTATGATTTGCGTTTGTGGTTGAAATTTTGATTTAGGGCTTCGGGGTTTCTGTTTTCGGTTGTGTTTGCGTGGGTTTGTGTGGGCTGAACGTTTTCTGCTGCGTTTGTTATCGTTGTGTGGGTTTTCTAGAGTGGAAGAATGAAGGTTTAATGGGCGCGTTAACGGCCGTGGTTCAACGCAAATTTCATGGGCGTGGTTTTTGGTCGTGGTTAAAATGATTGCTTGACCACGGCCATGAAAAAGAGTACCACGGCATTGGTTCTGTCCAAATTCACGGTTGTACCACGGCCATGGTCGTGACCTTGAAATTTGACAGAATCAATATTCTTCTTGAATTTGCAGTACCTAGGCCATGTTAAGCCCATGAATTTGGACAGATTATGTTGTTTTTGGGTTTTCATCTGTTCCTTTGATCTGTTCCTTTCTATGTTTGAGTTTTCATCCATTCCTTTCATCTGTTCCTTTCTTTGTTTGGGTTCTGGCTTGCTGAATAATGTATTTGTATTTCAGGTTTATAAAATGGAGATGGTACCTAAGATTCCTCCCTCTAGCTATCGTTCAGCCAATTTGACCTGCCTATCCCACATAGGGAGCACGGTAAAGGCTATTAAGAGTAAACTAACCCCTAGGCAACTTAGTATGTTTAGGATGACCATTTTCGGCCATTTGCTAGACGTAGAGCTCGTACTTAATGGGCCACTTATACATAACCTGTTGCTTAGGGAGTTGGAGAATAGTAGAGCAGACGTAATTACTATGGACGTGCTTGGTAATAGAGTATCTTTTGGATTTAGTGAATTTTGTCTGATAATAGGCCTGAAATATAGTAGACGGCCGATTCGTAAGGACACTTCTCCTAAGAGGCTTAGGAAGTTGTACTTTGATGACAAAGTGTATATCTTACTAAGTGAGTTTGAGGCGAGGTATATGGTGTGCAGTTCGAGGATGACATTGATGCAGTCAAGATATCAATGTTATTATTCGTTGAACTTGTCTTGTTTGGAAGGGATAGGACGTTGAAGTTGGATAATAGCCTCTTAGGAGTCGTGGATGACCTAGAGGTTTGCTGTAATTATGACTGGGCTGAGATGTCTTTCGAGAAGACTATAAAAAGTTTGAAGCGTGCCCTGACGAAGAAGGGGAGAGATGGGGGGCTGAGGAAGACATATAGTCTGTACGGTTTCCCCTGGGCATTCCAAGTATTTGCAGT